AGCCCCCTCTAGTATCAAAACACCCTACCCCCTCATATCAAATTTTGTGACTGCGGTAGACCATAATACATGGGGAATGTGTACTATTTGGGGGAGAGGATTGCAAATCATAAGTTAAACATTTCTACGAACAAACAGAGAGTTGTGGGCCCGCGCCTCATGTTGAGCCTACTTAATTAGGCATGACCGGTCTTGAATATGATGCATAGGAAGTTGCATCATGACCAGGAAGGATTCTAGAAGTTCCTTTAACTTTGTACTTTGAGAAACAGGAAAATCAGGGCAAAGCCAAACAACCGTGCCTGGACGGTGCTCAGCTCCGCGACAACTGGGGCGTTGGCGCCCTTCTTGCCCTCCTGCAGGTGGGTGGTTGCCATGGAACTGTCCCTTTGCCGGGCCCTTCTGCTCAGCATTCCCATAGTTGTGACAACTATAGTGGTACTTATAAGAAGTAGCAGGGGTGCGGAGTGTTAGTGCCTTCTACGAGTACAAGCTCACATTTTTTCTTAGCAGCATGTCATTGGGACAAATCATATTCTGATTCTGAAGCACTAAACGACAATCTTAATACCCGTTCATGTGCTAGGAGCGGCAGTGGAAATTATTCAGAAGTCATTCAAGTTATTCGCTTCGGTTTGCACAACGAAACTAAACCAGAGGAATGCAGTAAGCACGCTGCACGACATTTTTAAAGTCTGGAATGATGGGCATATCATCCTGGCAACGCTTTAGGACTGACGGTTAGCCAGTTAAATACAAGACTCCAGAAATGAATGTGTCTAGAGAAATCTTAGGACTTCCGACAGTATAGCTAAAGGGAAGGTTATCTAGAAGAAAGGATGCCCCAAGCAGTTTTTACAAATACTTCTGGACCTTGTGGATGTTGCCAAGTCAGTGTGTAGCCGTCGGTTCATGCTCGCGCATTTCAGGCTGTTTTTCTTCCAGCCGCTTAACAACCGCAACCCTAAAATCTAAAAACCTGTAAAGTTTCCTTTTTCTTTTCCCTTATC